CAAAGAAAGGACAGTCAAGATTTGGTGATGTAGTGTTTTGATAAAAAATTAAATAAAACCCATAGTCTTTGTTCAAAATCCGAAGCACTGAAGAGGACTATGTTATTAATGACATATCAATGCCACTCTGGAAGAGTTGACTTAAAGGGATATTAAGGGAAGACTTTAGCTTGCAATATTAAACCCAAGGGATTGAAGTATTTCCAGGAAGTGAGAGCCAATTGCACCAGAAAAGAACCATCCACAGAAGGGGTGGGGTGGTCCTATTTATTCTGAAGAGTGAATAATTGACTAGGAAACATGATGTGAGATGGTGCCTTATCAGGCTGAGAGCAAACTCAAACTGTACCTCAAACGTTGATTCTGTGATCACCTTTCCATACTCAAGAGACATTGAGCATTAATTGGCTATTGACTCACTGGAGGGCAGCCAAAGAGCTGGAAGCCTAATTGAAATCATGTTTCTTGAAGAACGGGATCTAAAAGCCAGACTCGTTGGACTTGAGGAAAGATGTAGTTGGTGGGGAAAGGAAGCAAAGAGTTTCTTTTGTAAATATTTGAAAGTAGTGTGTATGGGGGAAGAGGACAGTCATATTTGATCTGCTTGGAGAAATGTGTTGAGGCTTTGTGACATTCTGTCCCCTTTTACCTGAGAAGAGTTAAGAAGAAATAGTATGGACACCTGCCAAGAATGTGCTGATGACCATGAGAAGAGTGAAGAAATGCATTAGAATATCCTCAAGATGTCTTCCAAATATGTAGTCTTACAGCCTACAATAATTGTTTTTTTCTAGCCTTGATGTATAGTTTTAACTCTACAATAAGCTGATCTGTTACTCTTAATCACCAAGACAATGAAAAGGGTATACCTTCATATTAGTTCTCTCTGGCAATCATATTTTCATTACTGTAACAAAATACCTGAGTTAATAAACTTAGGAAAAGAATAGGTTATTTGGTATTACAGTTTGGTAATTTTCATGCTATGACTGATTGAGAGAATTTGGGGAAGGCTCTTGGCAAGGCTGGAGACACATGTGGTACAGCAGCCTGTTCACTTCATAGCTAAGAAGCGACAGACAAACAATGTGAGGGAGGATCCCACAGTTCCCTTGGGGGAACATGCCCTTCACAAACATAAAGCTCTCACATGAGGCACCTCCCTTTAAAGATCCCACAACCATCCAATAGTACTACTATGAGGACAAAACTAGCAAATGAGTCTTTCCGGGTCATTCCAGATCCAAACCACAGCACTCGCCAAAATCACAATCCATGACAAGAGGGCGAGAGTCTGCAACCCCCAGCAACAACTGGCCCTTCTGTGTCCTCACTGCCCAAGAGCAGCAAACATTATGTCAAAATCTGTATAAAGGACATGAAGGAGCCCCCACACCTCCTGAGTGACTTCACCTTGACGCTGGTCTTTCTCTACCAATCTAAACACAGAACAATCTCCAAACTTAACAACGTCTTCCCAAGGGAAGATGGAGCTTCGTGACAAGATTTGTGCCTCCTCCTAGCCTTTTCTTTCAGGTCTGTGTGTAATTGATAGAACTCAGAAAAGATTTATTAGAAAATCCAGGTGAAGCCACCTGGGTTTCAAGATATAATTTGAAACTTGACTGGCTGTATCGTGCAAGACAGGGGTAATCAAAGTTAACAGTGAGAGCTCAAAGCTTAATACATGAAAAATGTCTGAATGTTCTAGCCACATTCAAAGAGGGGCAGACGTGCTTTCTGAGTAAAAACAACCTGCTGTGTTTTAGAGAAGTTTTCAGAAGAAACCAGAACTTATTGCAAATCTCTGCCAGCAATCAGGCTAAGAGAAATGGACAGTCTAGGAAGGTTCTCTTTGCTTGCCCTGGAGAAAACTTCTCAGCAGCATACAAAAGTTTGAATGGATTGGGAGAGCCAAATAGTATATGTGCAAATTGAAGAACAGCTTCTTACTAGCCCTGTGACCATGAACTAACTGTTTAACATCTCTGTGATTCAAGTTGTCCATCCATAGAGAGATCAAATTAGTATTTGCCTCACAGGACTGTTGAGAGAATAAAATGAGTTAATGAAATTAAAGATAGATGATATACTTAACAAATAAATGGATAAAATAAATAAAAATAATAGATTGATAGATAATAGATATAGATTAGACAAGAGAAAACTTTTGGAAAAGATGTTTATTATTATTGTTGTTGCTCTTTATATATATTGCTCTTTATATATATTTCATAGCTCTATATTTTTCCTCCAAACTCATCAAGATGCAGATATTAATTATGCCTAGGATTCCATCTGATCATGACATTCAGATCAAAGACCTTACCTGTCAAATTATCTCCACACATCTAATATCAGCCATGTCTTAACCTAGCAATCTAGAAACTTAAACAGAAATCTACAAACAAAACTGACAAATCCTTGCTTTTGTCTGTCTTTATATCTCTCTGCCTCTGTGTTGCTGTATCTCTGTGTCCATCTCAAACACACACGCACACACCTACAAAAAATAACAACAGCAATAAATCAACAACCATAAAAATTCTCATTCACAATAGGGTGAAATCAGAAGCAGCAGTTACTGATACCCATTCTAGCCAACCAGCTAGTAAAGGCCCTGCCCCTTCATGGTCAAAAGAGAGTCTTGGATCTACCCACTGGGAAATCCATATGTCCATTGCTCTCTTCTGCTGCCATCACTTCCTCTTGGTACCCCCCCAAAAAAAAATTCTAGCTTTTCTCTTGCTGGGAAGTGAGTATTGGGGAGTTTGCCTTCACATAAGCCTGCATTTCACATCCTTCCAGTAGAAGCTGTTTTCAGACTTGAAAGACATTCTGAATATAGACTAACAGAACTGCCAGCAACATAATTTGGTAACACCAGCATTTTAACCTGTCAAGATATTGGTAGGCTCCTTCAAATTTCATAAAATAGGTGTTCCCTGACCCTATCCTTTTCCCCTTTTCATTTGGGTTTATGACTTTCCAGGCATGGTCTCATTCTCAAAACACCTTGACAACTACAGCCAGCAGTGGCTGGCCACACAATGTGTGTCTTCTCCCACCATTTACCCTAGAGCTAAAAGGTTAGGCCACACGTTGCCTTCCAAGTTACTGTTCTTACCAACATCACCAAAGGTTGTGCCACTTCAAGACATGGACTTCTGCCTTTTCAGCCCTGTATCCAGTCCCTCAAACTCATCTATTGCCATGTACTTCCCCTGAGTAAAGAGTTCTGATAGAGCAGCATCTCTCTCTATCACCTATTTTGCCCTGGTTAGGATGATCATGCTTCTGTGGTAAGCATCATAAGATAACTTACTAAATTCCTAATACATAAAGAGGCACAAAAAATTAATATTTAATAAATGCTTTATGGTATGCCTGTATCCTAAAACACTCTTTTGACACATTTGCATTTATACTTTCATAATTACATTTTTTTTTAAAATAAAGCAACACATTCAGAATTACAGGGACAGTGACTCCAGTATGTGAGTTCGTGCCTGGACATCATTCCCCAGTAGAAATGTAAGCAAAAGGAGGCCCCATTATTCTTCTGATCCTCATTATAGAAAACTTAAAACCTGTTCATTTCCCTGTAGGCTTAGGTCATTTCTGTTTGTACTTATTAGTTAAGCATTAAAAAAATATTTTAAATACTACCTGTTGTATAATAGTTACTTGAATACAAGGAGGGATCGATAGCCTTTGAGGGTTCTATCCCAGGACCTGTCTGCATAATTCTGTGCAGTGAACATGCTTAATGGAATGCATCCATGTTCTGTTCATTCTTCAATGATTTGTTTGTATAACTGATGCTTTCTACCCATTGAAGGAGTTTTATAGCACAGCTGCTCATCAAGTCTGTCAGAGTCATACATTGTCTTATGTTGATTTCTACACAAATTATGAGATATTAATAATTTTGAAGGGAGTGTACATGCAAATCAAGAGTGATACAAGCTATTAATTGATATAAAGGTAAGCCTGACTCCATTCAGTATTTATTGAGCACAGGTTTCTTAGCAGGCATTAAGCAAGACCTATTTTGATTTATGCCATAAAATACTTTGAAATCAACATCTAAACCATGCTTTTAAAAGTTGGCTATAACTTTAATTTATGTGTGCGTGTGTGTGCGTGCGCGCGCGCCTGACACTGAGAAGAAATGAATAGTAAAATGTACAATACACTCTCCAATTAAAATGCCAGATGATTTATTCTGATTACAGGCTAAAATATCAGAAGATTTATTCAATTACTTAGACATAATTTGCAAAGTATGTGTCCTTCCTAGATTTATGATACACATGTGGAATAATGCTTAAGCAAGACCAATGCAAGTAACATCATCTTAAGCATTTCTCCGTTTCAGGAAAACAGTGGTGAGCAATTAAGGACAAGTCACAGAGAAACTATCCTGTTAACAAAAGTGATGTGTGGACACGACTCCATTAGTTTAGCCCCTTCCCGGAGTTGCAGGATAAACTTTCCTGAGTGCTTTTGTTTCTGCGGGGAAATGATGCCTGTCGACCTCTAGATACCACTTTAAAAGGCTACAGGGACGCGAATCCACGTAGTGCAAACAGCGATGGCTGCAGAGAGACGAGACGGAAATTCCTCCAGATACCTGAAACCCTTGCTTTGCATTTGCCTCCGTCTAGGGTTTGCAGAAGACCCTTGCCCACTCCTCCTTATTCCTAACGAGTGTATATAGTAGACTCTTTGAAATGTGAGTATTATGGGAAGGATCACAGTTGCTTTAAATTATAGAAGTTGGCAAGTGCCTGGGAGAAGGAGTGGGAGGTTGTTTAAACTGAGAAAGACGGTTGCAAAAGTTCGTACGACAGCATGAGCTCCGAGCTTCACACACATCCTTTACTCTTCATCAAGATGCTTCTCTGCGTTGTTGTGGAGCAGACTGAATAGTAAACACAATTCTGCTCTGAGTATTTTTTTTTAGTGGTTTCTAAATTCATGGGAGAACCAAAGCAAGGAAGTCTCATGTTTGGGGAAGAAGTCTGAGCCCAGAAATGCCCAGGAAAGGTAAGCTATCGTTTTCACTCCAGCCTTTTCTCTTTCCCCCTCCTATTTGGACTTTATCAAAATATTTGCAGGAAGAACCACAGACAGCTACTGGTAAGGGAATGGGGGATGTGTGGATAGAATGTCAACAAATGATAAATCAGAGATTGGAAACTCAGCAGCGGTGTCTCTACTACTTTCTATTCCGGTTGACGTAGAAATGTCTATGTATGCAAATGCTGTTTCTCTTAGAAAAGGTCAGAGGGGTCTCAAAACCCCCAGTCTTTGAGAATAGACTCTCCAGTGGGCAGTGAGCTCATGCATGGTTAAGATCTCGGTATCTTTTTCTATGAAACTCTCAGCCAGAGCTGAGAGTCTTAGAACTCGGGAAACTTTCTCATGGATTATGGTAATCTCCTAAAATGTCTGTGCCTTACTACTTTATGGAATATGTCTTTTACAGTTACATAAACCATTTGACTCTTTCTCGTAAGAACCTAGGACGATGTTACTGATACTAATTTTATCTCCTTGGAAGAGAAAAAAATCAGAACGACATATTTAGCTTAAGCCAAAGTTGCCCGAGTGTGTCCTTATCTGATTATGGTGACTGACTTGTTAACCATGCCTTTGGATAGCTCTTGGTTTGGTTTGGTTTGGTTTGGTTTGGTTTGGTTTGGTTTGGTTT